AGTTGCGACCAACTCGAGTTGCGACCAGAGTCACGGAACGGATTAAGTTCGTAACTAGAGGTGCCACTGTACCTATTAATTTCCTAAGGCTCTTCAGGTTAGTTGGAGCTTTAATGATATGATAGCAGCACTTCTGAAACTCAGCAATAAAGTGTTTCCTCCTCAAAATAACAAATAGCATTCTGGCAAGTCAAGGGTTATCTTGCAAAACTTCTGCAGCATATTAACTTCACCTCAGATGCTGATGGCATTTACCACTCGTCCTCTCCAACAGTATAAGTGTTATGGATTCAGCCTAAAGGAGGCACCCAGCACTGAGAAAAACCATGTTTAGGGCAAACAATGGAAAAGCAAAGATTTTTTTTACAGAAGTTGAGAGTTACAAGGCAGGAAATCCTAGGGCTCTGATTTGCTGGCCAGTTTGGGGAAGCCAGGGAAGTCTTTGTCAGCATATCTGGGGTTCTACTGTTAGGCAAAAGGGGCCTTTCAGGAGGGCAGCAGAGCTGGGGAAGTCCACTGCTAGAGGAGACGGAATGTTGAGCTCATCAGCTGAGAGAGGATGGACCGCTGGGCTTTCTCTAGGCTGCAGTTCCCTGGTTAGGGCTGCCCTGGGCCTCTGTTTGAGAAGGCCACTGTTCTTTGGTTTGGATGGGCCTACAGGGGGACTTTGTCTGGGGCAGGGAGGGTCAATTTTGTTCTGATAGGATTAGGCAAAGTGATGAACTGGGTTTGACCCTGATCATGTCCAAAAGACATGGGGAAAAGGGTGCAGGCTCCATTTTATTTGTTAAGATTTATTTTTTCCCCTAGGCAAGTACTTATACTGGCTGGCAAATTAGAAAGTGTATTTGAGTGTCATTTTACACTCTTTAAGAATCTGTCTTTGCATGCAGTTCAGTCAGTGCACCAATTATAAAAGTTAACTCTATCATTTATCATTACTCTCATTTTTTTAAAGCTAACAATAACCTTTATTTTTATACTAGTTTTTTGTGCACTGAATATATTTTTTAATGAGTAGATTAACTAATGATAAAAAGCTCAAAAGATACAGGAGAGATTTGATTTTAGAGAACAATCTTTGTCTTCTGCAAAAAAGTGCAGGGGCTGCAGGGGCTTCCCGGGGCACAGCAGCTTTGGGCTGTGCTGCTCGGGCTTCCTGGGGCGCAGGGGCTTTGCATCACACCATGTGCTGGGGCTGTTAGGGGTGGCCGCGGCTTGGGGAACAGTCTATGCTGCCCGCAACTAAGAAATGTCCTTGGGGTCATAATGGATAACGCAGTGAAAAAGTGAACAAGATATCCAGCAGTTGTGAAAAAGGAAACCCCATGCTAGACATCGTTCAAAAATGGACTAAGTATAGAAATATCAACACTGTAGCGCCATTATACACATCTATTTTTAGAATTTATTTCTTACCAGGTTCATTTGAGCCGGGATCAAAGAGACAACAGGCAGTTGCATGAAATTAAGTTCTTTATTCTTCACCCAAAAGTACTGATAGAAAGCTGTTACGTGGGCAGCCACAGC